CCCCAAAACCCCAAAACCCCTGGGTGAGCTAATTTTGGCAAATTAGAAATATGCTTAATTATAATAAGAAAATTAGAAAATGTTTCCCCAGTTAAACCAATCACAAAGCCATAGTAACTTGAGAATAGAGGATCAGCAAGTCTAAGAGAGAAGACCCTCTTAATTCAAACCTAAATAACTTCCATTATTGGGACTCTAAAAGATAGATCACTCTTACAGTAAAGACTATCTCTCATCAGGAGGTTAAAGTATTGGAGAATCAAAAGGAATTTAGTAATTGAAACTTTAAGATTAAAAGAACAAAATTGGATATGGTCGCAAGGACATCAAACTAAAAATAAACTCTTCAATTGCTCTGCTAAGTCAAGACTATGATAAGCTAGTTAGTCTTGCGAAATTTGTTTAAGAAAAAGATGAGATGGATGCAATGTTGAAGAAAAATCCATTTGGTTTCAAATCAATCAATTCTACTAATGCAGGAGGAGATAATGGTAATAATAGCACAGCAAAGACTCTTATGAAATCTTAAAGCTAAGGACATATATCAAGGACATTGTAAAATCCGAATATATCATCCCTTAAAAGCTCTGAATCTATTTTTAATGCAAGAAAAGTAAAGAGCATAAGCGAAGAAGAGGAGGATTATCTTGAAAAGTATGATAGTAAGCACTTAAATCTAAACATTTAGAGTGCAATGAGTCCTTAATAAAGATCTCCAAACTATAGTAAGAGTTAATTAAGTTTGATAAAAGACAGAAATGATAATAGTAATCTTAATTAAAATGGACTGCTAAGCCCTCTTGAAATAAGATTCCTGACTGTTGCTGTAAATCAAAGCAAGCATTAATAATATAAAAAGCAACTCAAGAACTAAAAGAATGTCTCAGGCTACATATAAAGGCTTTTAAAAGAAAAGAAAGATAAACTCAAGAATATATTTGACAATTCTGATAACTCTAATGGCATGTTTAGTTTAAATAATACTGAAAACATGATGAGTATTATGATGCCAGCTAAGAAAAGTAAGCCTGCTAAATCAAAATTTGAAACTGTCAAGTAAAATCAAGTGGAGGAAATTAAAGAGGAGATGAATGATGATGATGTCAGAGAGGGAATGAATTTTCACTATAAAGCTAGCTTTAATGTTAAAAATGATAAGCTCTAGCTATTTAAACTTTCAAAAAATGAGAAAAATTAGGCTTACCCTATTAGTTTAGATTAATCATGTGATTCATTGACTTCATCTGCTATTATGGAATATACCTAAAATACTAATAGATTGATTAATGAAAGCATTCAAAAGTAAAATCAAACTAATATTAGATATCCTAAAAAATTAAGCCCTAGAGATCTCAAAAAGCATTTTGAACCAAGGTAAATTGTCACAGCTTACAGCATATTGCAGAAGCCTATCAATTATTAAGAGTTCAAATATAAAGGTCTGGACTTGCTAAAACTATAAAAGTTTGTAAAAGTTTTTGAAAGAACATTGAATCCTTAATATACAGGAGCAGTAGATTTGAGGTTAAACTAATTTACAGCAGAAGAAGTTGATAAATTTTTCACATATAGATTAATGAACAAGCATAAAGAAAGATTTGAAGAACATATTAAGCAAAAATTTCCCTATTCAATAGATCAAATTTAATAGCTTAATGAGCTTGAGCAAATTGAGTAGTAGCTTAGGAATGGGGAAATAATAAAAGGGTACTGGTAAGCAGTAGATATTAAGAGCAGCTACCCCTAATCTAGAGAAAGTCCAAAAATGGTTGTTGTAAATAAGAGGATATATCTATTTGGAGGATTTGCAAGAGAACCATTCAACGACACTAGACTCATAATTGATTTAGAGGAGAAATATTCCTGTTAAGTTTTCGAAAATAGAGGTGAAGAGGGTATTAATTTTCCTTAAAAAAGATTTGGACATTCATTAAGTGCTTACAAACATAATTTAGTTCTATTCGGTGGAGGAGGCGCATATAATACTTAAGCTAAAATACGATTAACTTTAAATGATGTGAAAACTTTTGATACTTGTAATATTTCAATATCTTTGATAATATTTTAGTTACAAAGGAATGGACCACAGATGATTTCGTACCGTATGAAAGAGATGGAGTGATGATTGAAGCACCTAAGAGAAGAATGCATCATGCAGCAGATGTTTTTGGCAGTTTATTGGTAATTCATGGTGGGTTTTCGGGAGAGTCAAAATAAGTTCTAAATGACTTTTGTCTTTATGATTTGAGTAAGTATATTTTTCCATCAGTCATATCTTTTAGAAATGAAATCATGGATTAAATGTATTACAACAAAGTAAAACAAGAAGATTACTGCTAGATATATGCATTCAATGACTGCAATTTATAGTCACACAGCTGAAGAAAGTTCAAAATATGCAAGAGGTTTATGGGCTCATCCATACTAACCAAAAGGCTCAGATAAAGATAACTAAGTATTTGAACCAGAATTAATGGGATTGTACGTTTTTGGAGGTCTCGTACAGAGATAAGATTTCTTGGATGAAGATGAGCCAAATAGGGATAATAATGATAAATCTATCATTTAAGAAAGCATTAATTCCAAAGCTGATATCATTAGTAGCACCCAACTGATTTATAGCAATGAACTATGGTTTATTAAACCTGATTACATAGAAAATCTAAAGAGATTGAAGCTTAGTAAGAATGAAAATTATTAAATAAAGGATAAAGACTACGATTACAAAAATAATAAAAAGCCACCTACTCTATGCATTGAACTAGTAAGATTAAAACCAAGTGGCAGGCCACCTGCTCCTAGGTGCTTACATTCAGCATGTGCTTTTGGTAAGTAATACATTGCATATTTCGGAGGTAAGAATGATAACTTTTTTAAACAATACTAAAACATCGCTCTCAATGATCTCTTTATGTATGATATAAGTAAGATACTATATTTTATTCATAATCGATAGAAAACAACAGCTGGATAATTATAGCTAATTATGGATGCCATCCCGAGGGTAGATTCTCACATGCGATGGTCTCAACTTCTGATTTTGCAGGAACGAATAAGATTTTGATATTTGGTGGATAAAACATGAAGATTTATTGCCCATCGAACATTTATTAGTTTGATACGAGTAACAAAATCAAGATTAATATGCTTTCTATAGATGAATTAAACCTTGCATTAAAGTCTAAGGTTTTCAAGGACAGGATAGAAGATGTCAAATAAGAAGCTAAAAAACATAACTATACTTTATGATCGCCTATGTTAACATAAATAAAATATGTCTAACTTTAATTTCTTTAAATTCAAGAACTATGGGGTTTTGGGGTTTTGGGGTTTTGGGG